ATATGGCTACAGGGACATGTGCGCGACAGTTGGAAATGTACAAAAATCTATTGAGCTCACTGATGTACTGTACACACCAGAAATTGGCAAAAATTTGTTATCAGCTTCAAAGGCAGTGAAGCGAGGAATCTCGATTTTTTGGTGATTCAGACGATATAATTTGTCGTTTCTTTCACAAGGAGACCCCAGATAATATACTTTTAGAGGCCCCACGTTCATCAAATGGACTCTTTGAATTATGTGCAAAACCAGTCAAGCCACAAGGGGTTCTGTTGCTGCAGTCTATTCGGTTGACAACAAAATAACAACTCCTTTTCCTGAAACAGCAATGAAGATTATGATAAAATTGCAATTATCACTTTGGCATCGATGAATTGGGCATCAAATGGTATAGATTTCATCAACAATGGACTATTTTTTGAGCCATATGCATATGGTAAACAAAGTCGACAAACATTTAAACCAAAACGATTCAAAACAAAAAAGTCTGATGAAATAATACATATAGACTTACTCAAACCGCCAGTCTTATCAAGAGGTGGAAAGAAGTACATGTTAGTGATTAAGGATGATTACTCCAAGTTTTGACATGTAGAATTTCTGAGACATAAAGACAAGGCTATGAATAAAATCAAACAGTTTCTTGTTCAGACCAATAAAGATGGTATAAATGTAAGAGAACTGGTCACAGACGATGGGCGTGAGTTTGACAATGATAAATTGGTGAAACTGACAGATGATGCAGACATCAAGCTATGAATCACTATGCCATATATACCAGAACATCACGGATTGGTTGAAAGAGAGAATCGTAGAACAATGATTGAGGTTCGCACTATGGTCAAGAATTCAGGCCTACCACAGTTCATATGGGCAGAAGCTGCATCTACAGCTGTCTACGTTCTCTATCGAATCGGACAAAGTAAGAGCATGGCAAAATCTCCGTTTGAGGAATGGTTTACATGCAAGGCGACAATCAACAGAATTCACATTTTTGGATCAGCTGCATTTGTACATGTACCAAATGTCAACAGAGGTAAATTAGATGAAAAGGCTATACAGAGCTAATGTTTTTATGTAAACAATAGGACGTGCGTAAAGTTTCTTTACTTTTTCCTTATTAAAGTCCGAAATTCATTTAGTCATCACTCTGCTTGGCTAATTTTATAGCACATAACATGATTTTAATGACACAGCTAATTAAAAAAATTAGTGTGAATAAAAATAAAGCAATATGTGATGGTAAATCTGGTATGAGTTTTGAAAGTTGTAACAATAAAATTTGTTTTAATTTTGGTTTGAAAAATCATATTTCTAAAAACTGTATTCGTAAAGATAAGGTAATTAAATGTTTTAAATGTGAAGCTTTTGATCATTATTCTAAAGCAAATTTGAAACCAGACGTAGCCACTTTGAATGTTAACGCTGAATCAAAATTGAACAAATGGGTAATGACTCATAATTTAATGGTAAAATCATTAATAGACACTGAAAGTGAAGCAACATTGCTTAAAAATTTTGTTTTTGATAAATTAAATGTAGAGGAATTAAGGCCTTCGAATTCTAGTTTGGTGGGATTTAGAAAATGGCGAGTGGACCCATTAGACTGTTTTAAAGAAAGCATCTAAACTGATGACTTTAATGCTGACATTTGGATCGTGCAAAATGATGTATCTCGTGACATCATTGTAGGACTCGATGTGTTTAATGCATGGTGAAACTCTGATCAATGAAAATGGAATTATGATTATAAATACATATCAGTGCATAAAAGAAATAAATACTTTTTCTATTCTTCCAGTCGATTTAACTTATGAAGAAACTGAAATTAATACTGAACCTGATATTCCAAATATTTTCAGAGACAAGATCCAACAATTACTTTCAAGTTATATACTGTGTAAAACTAAAACAATGAATATAGAAATGAATATTTTGGTAAAAAATAACGAACCTATATTTTATCAGCCATTTTCAGAAAAAAGAATTATTCAAACTCAAGTAGCTGAATGGTTAGCACAAGAAACAGTAGAACCCAAATTTTCAGAATATTGTAGGCCAGTTGTAATCACTAAAAAGAAGGCTAAAATTCTTTGTTCATTCATAGATTGTAGGAGACATTGTAAAAGACAGGTATCCACTTCCGTTTACTGAAGATATTCTAGATCAGTTACAAGAATTACATGTATTCAGTACAACTGATCTTAAATAATATGTGTTTTTCCATGTTGATGTAAACAGCAATAGTAAGAAGCATAATTCACTTGTAAACACCTGAAAGGCCCACCAGCAGCCGAGCGGTAAAGTCGCTGAACACTGGTAATTGGGTCCGAGGTTCGAATCCCACAAATGAGCTCGCTGCATTGGAGTTTTCGTGGTTTTCCCCATGTGTAACGTATATATGAGCCAGTTTCCCTCAGAAAGTCCTCCACGAAGCATCCCCCCTTAGGTAGATAGCCCTCGAGGTTTGCCATAATCACACACACACAAACACACAGTAACACATGAAGGCCAATTTAAATTTCTCAAAGCTTCTTTTGGACTATGCAATTCTCCTACTGTATTTCAGAGGTAGATTTACACCATTTTTCGACATCAATCATGACATTGTTTTGCAGTATATGGATGACATAATAATCTTGTCTTCCTCCCTTGAAGAAGAAGTCGAATGGCTTGAACGGGACTTAAAGCTTGCTAGTGAATATGGACTCATGATTCATTTTAAGAAATCTAATTTTTTAAAGAAGTAAATTGAAATATTACATCATACTATCGAAGAAGGTAAAAATTTTTCAAACACTTCAAAAACAACAGTTGTATTTAATTTTCCAAAACCAATTAATCTGAAACAAATTAACAGTTTTCTTGGACTCACCGGATATTTCAGGATGTATTCCATTATTGCTAAATTCTTCTGTGATCTCTTGAAAAAAGATCACAAGTTTAAATTTGATGAGGAGGAAAGAAATTCTTTCAATCGAATAAAGACATTATTAGCTGAAACCCTGTCTTAGAAACTTATAATCCCAATTATGAGACTGAATTTCATACTGACGAGAGCTTAGAAGAATATAGATCAATTTTAATGCAGAGTTTGTAGAGGCATTAGGTTATTTTTAAAGCAGCACATGTGAAAAATGTGCAATGCCCTTTCCTGGACTCGAATCTGAACCACTCAAATACGCACCAAGTGTGCTAGCTATTACACCATGAAGGGATGCTTGAAAGAGGGAGAAGATTCCCCTTCAGAATTAGAAAGCCTCTCTTGCCTGAACCAGTTGGGTTTCGATATTCAAGAAGTGAAAGAACCCTATAGGGATCTTTCCACAAAACATCAAATAAAACTGGGCAAAAGCGTACATTCGTCGATAGTGCATAAATCACAATAGAATAAACGCACTCTTTAAAACTCACTATATTTGTTTACCATTAAATATACTTTGTCAATAGCACATAAACCACAATAGAATAAATGCACTCTTTAAAATTCATTATATTTGTTTACCATAGTGACATTCTGGCCCTAGGATCACTTAACAGCGTGACATTTCAATCATTTTTTAACTCAGAATGCACAAAATTTTTATCATCTTAACAATTATCTAATCATTGCCACATGTTCTATTCAATCTAAAACGATGCATAAAAGAAATTAAGCAAAGAACAACAACAACAACAAAAAAAAAAAAAAGAGAGAGAGAGAGAGAAACAGTTTTTCACAGACGATTCAGTATTTCTCATTCAATTAATTCAGTTCTCACTTCGCGACAAGGCAAAAATACATAAAAACTCAAAACGTCTGCATTGAAAATTATGAAGTAAATCTTAAACACTTATTTCCTTGAATAAATTCCAGAATGGATTAAGCATAATTTAATTTGCAATAATAAAAGAAGGCATTATCTTTGTTATTGCGAAGCTTAATTTCTCTAGATTGGCAACAAATCTACTATTTTCTGTTGCTTCAAATGTAAACAAGCAATGGCCTACAAGGCAAAAATTATTAGGCTTCGCGGCACTTAAACAACTTTTAAATTTTTAATAATTCTAAAAAATATTGCATACAAATTTACTAAAGGCATAAAGACCTTAACTGGAAGATAAGAACAGCATAATTCAATCATTTTTAAAGCAAAAAATGCACAATTTACAAACATATAAGAATAAAGAAACTGAGATCACTGAGCTGAATAGCAGAGTGGATATATATATATATATACATATAGTTATATATTTTTGTGCGGCTGATTGCAACCAAAATACGAGGTGCACATCTACATGTTATAGCAGCCCTATATACAAAATTTCAACGTTCTGAGGCTACTCGTTTTTGGGTTATGAGAGATACATACATACGTACACAGACGCCATGAAAAATTCTCTTCAGAATTAATTTTAAATTAGTTTTACAATTTTTTCGAGGGAAAAGAAACCTTTATTCTGTCCTTGTGTACTGATGTCAAGCAAAAACATCGTTAACTTGTATTCGATAGTGGTGAAAATGGATATTTGCATTGAAATATGATGCCTGAAATTTTTCGCGATTACAATACTTCCTTTTTATTTCGTACAAGGAAGTAAACAGGGCTTATCAAAAATCAACTGAGATTATATCAAACAAAGGTGCACGTTATAAATGTGTTGTTCCATCACGCTCATCCATAATCATTGCTAAATTGCGCTGCTTGGCAACAATTTCTTGGTTGACAAGATAATATGTAAGTAATGCAAATTCCCCCCCCCTAAATCTTATAAAATTTTAAATGAAGACTTTTGATAATCAAGCTGGGAACACATAAAATGACTTTTTATAATTTTAGACTGGAAAATTTTCCCAATCATTTGCTTTTCTAATCTGAATTCAATTATATATATATATACATGTAATTATCTGTGATTTTCAAGTATCTAGCATTCAAAATTTCCTGAGCTTTCGAGATAGTGAAGCTTTTACTGTATTACACAATCACATACACAAAAAAAAAAAACTTTTCAAATACCTTTTTAAAGGGTTTGAGCTAAAATCGGCAATTTGTAACTGCTTTAAATTCTTGATGCTCTCTGGAATGTCATAAATGTCTGCAAAATAATAAATATTGTGAATCATTAAGTGAGTATATTTATTCAGTACATGCTGTAATACAAGATGAAAAAAAGTAAGGAAAAAGAAATAATAAAACAGCTAAACTGTAATGAAAAGAAAAAGTAAAGCATGTATCTCATTAAAATAATCAAATATTTTAGGTCATACTGCAAGTTAACCTTTAATAATATATACATACGCATGTGTGTACACAATGTGGCCACAAAAATACTTATCTGGCCTTTATTTCCACAACTGTTGGTCATAGACATTTTACTTCTACTTTGAATTATATATAAATACACACACACATACGCATGGGTGCGTATATAAACATATTCATCAACAATTCTTATAAATTTCACTATTAGCAATTTCTAGTAAAACTGAAACATAATGAAAAATGTTCCTTAAACATACAGGACAAATGATTCAATAAATGTGTACATCCACATCTATGATTATTACTTTATTCTGCCAGTTTGCATAATGTTTCACTAATTCTGCCTTAGTTTAAAAATAACAGACTTTCCATTTCAGTAGCCTTAAAAGTTAATTTTTAAGGCTACTGAAATGGAAAGCACATCATTAAATGATTTAATACAGAATAATTTAACTGGTGGGGCCTGGAGTATTATAAAAATAGAAAATAACAACTAATTGGAAAATGAGTGACAATGATTAGATGGTTTTCACAAGTCATGTACTTCTGCAGTTGAAAATTTCTTTAATATTTTGGTAGTGTGCTTTCTCTGAAAATTCCTATGCACAGTTTTTATTTTATTCATAAGAATCTGCTTTTTACTGATTTTTAACAGCAGTATTCATTAAAGACATTTAATTTTCTACGTTCAAATTATTCATTAGTTTTCTTGCTCATTCAAACTTAATGCTTTTACTAATGCTTTTGCATTTACCAGTACTCTTTCATACTAATGCTTCCGTTAAAACTACTTTTAACAATAAAGTTTTTTTCTAAAATTTCTTTGGAAAGTATATGTCTCACAGATGCATACCAACATGTACCTTCCTTGCTATAATCAAGTTAAATTCAGCTCCAGTACAGTACAGAGAAAATATTTCTTACAAAAAACTTATTCTATTAAAAAGAATTATTATTATTAATTAATTACTCTTATTAATTAATTATTATTCTATTAAAAAGGCAACTACATCTGACATGTATTTGTTACCAACTCTGAACAAAATGGTACGTAAACAACAATAAAAATTTCATTATGATAAATTTTCAGTGTTTATTTTAAAAAATAAATGCACATAAAATTGAGAAACTAAGAGGGAAAAAGAAATGTTTGGAATTGCTTTCAGAGCTGTAACTTGTGTTTATTTGACATAAAAAAAAAAGTTTTAAAGATCACAGCATAAATGATTTCAGGTAAATCCATCTAACATATATATAAATTTATAAAGAACCCCTAATTCATGTTATAATAGCTGAAAATATTCATGCACTTCAAATGAAATGAAAAATCTTTTTTTTCTTTTTTTTTTTTTCAATTTGCATAGAAATTGTGGCTTAGTACATAGAGAGAGAAAAGAAAAAAAGGGGATGGGGACTCCACCAAAAACATGTCACCTCTAGGCTCAGTTTACATAGGCTTATATTTGAAGAGCTAGCTCATATGGGTTTCTTATTCTGAAACTAGAGGTAAGCTCTGATCATGTAGTTTGCTGCACAACAGTCATGGCAGTACATTTTACAACAAAGAAATTTGTATTTTCAGTTTCAAGAAATAGCTCTAAAATGCACTGTGTATGAAAATGAGCAATGATTTGAAATCTAAAAGATTTTTTGGAAAATGCTCCTCAAAAATACAAATTTAAAATGATTAATAATATGATTACTTTTTTAATAAGAAGAACAATTTATTGTTTTTTAATATAATATTTTATTTCTTTAAAACACATTTAAAAAAAAATTCCAAATATTTACTGCCACTGCCATGCTCTTTGCTTGCATTTTAACTAGGAGAATTCTGCTGAACCTTACACAGTAATCAAAACAACAATTACTTTGAAAAGAGTTTTGTAACTTAGATACAATCTAAGTTACTTGTATTACCTTCACATAAAACTAAAATGCATCATCAATAGCCTTAATTTCAACTAAGCAGTTTTATTCCAAAAAGAATTATTTCATGCTTCTGATGAGGAGACAATAGCGTATTTAATTATGGCAAAGCACACTAGGGCTATCTGCCTAAGGGGAGGGATGCCTTCGTGGAGGACTTTCTAAGGGAAACTGGCTCGTATACATGTTACACATGGGGAAAACCACGAAAACACCCATACAGCCAGCCCGTTCGCAGGATTCGAACCTCGGACCGAACTACCAGCATTCAGCGACTTTACCGCTCGGCCGCTGGTGGGCAAGGAGACAATAAAAGGAGTATATTTTAATACCAGTTACTTTCACAGATTGTAAAATTATAAACTAGTTAGAAAGATCAGTAACTTAATTTTACATTAGCTACAGAGGATACAAATACAGTTCTGAGAAATACTTAATAAAAATTCTCCTTATTTGAAATATGCTTCATGTTTTGAACTTCTAAAACAACATGCAGGGGAAATATTCCAGATTAAGGCGTACTACTGTGATTTAACAAAGGTATCAGGAATGATTCATTTTGGAAATACACACATACAAGAATTTGCTTTCAAAGTTTTTTCAGAACTGTAATAAATTTCATCCATATCTAGCAGCAAACCACATTTCACCCTCGGACCCGTCCTTCGGGGTTCTCTCCATCAAAACTGGGGAAGGAATTGAATGAAGTCGTACTGTCACCTGCATGGTGCTCAAGGATCTTGCCAATGACAGGCAAAATCTTGCTCTCTTTGCCATGATGAATTCCGTGGGCTTGTTTTGATGTTGCTAACAAGCAAGTGAGAAAAATCACAACAAACCATATTTCATTTTGCAAAGGAATTTCCCCAACAACAACATTTTAAAAATAGCATAAAAAGCTTTGAGGCCATCACTTTATCAAAAACAACCATTTTTGAGTGATATTACATGTTTAATGAAGGCAGAAAATGAATCCACACTCAAAGATGAACCACTCTCATGGATAACTAATCAGCAATGTGTTGATTGATCCAAATCAGAAATTTATACTTAGCAGCCATTGTTTAATAATTCAGAACATAATTCAGTTAATTTCCTGTATCATTCAGATCCTATCAAGTAATTTTGAAATTTGCTTGGGATTGTGACACAGAGCTTTTCGAGTTGTTCATAAAATGTTGAAATTTTCTGAGAAACAACATGCTCCAAGTGGCCCAAAGGATGCCCCTCCTGAAGGTGAAGTGTAATTAAAAGCACATTATTACTAGCAATGGAACATGAATTGATGCTTTTATTATAAAAACAGTTCAACATCAAGTGAACAGCACTTGAAAGGTGAAGAGAGCCTGAAGAATTACGTCTGAATCGATTAAAAATCAATATGTTTACAGGTTTCTTTGAATATTATGAAGCTGTGTATCAAGAATTTCTACAAGCTGGCCAAAATGCCAATAAGGAATATTATTTGAATATTACGTGGTATTTTTATGAAGTAATTTGCAGAGAACAACCTGAACTGTGATGAAATAACTCACAGATTTTATTCACAATGCTTTTGTTGCTTGTTAATTTTTGGCTAAAATTTCGACAAAATATAGCTCTACAACCTTTGTTTCACTTCATATGGTATCATGTAACTTTTTCTTATTTCTATAGTTAAAAACTGCTACATTGTGATCACTGTTTTAAGCTAACTGATACATTGAAAGAAAATCTGCTGCTGCAAATCCTGAACTAGTTTTTTACAAAATGAAACGTTCCATGGACATGAAAAAAAGTTAGCATTACTGCATTATTGTCATGGAAGTTCATATTGAAGAGGTTATGAAAAATATTGGGTTATGATGTAGAATGCAATCTATCACTTTCAGTTAGTTGTTTCTTAGCTAGCACCATTAAAGCACTATTTTTAAACATGAAATATGAATAACTATAAACACATATGCAGAAATAATTTAACTGAATAATTAAAAAGCAGTTCAATTTTTCATTCCAGTAAACTTAAATTCTTTCCAATTTTACAAAACGAAAGGAGTGACACTTACAGGGAGCCGTTTTTTAGAGTTGGTCAGCCATATACATTATGAATGTCGCTCAGGATGGCCAAAAAGAAAAAAAAATCATTACTTTGAATGCTTCTGAGAGATAATATGCAAGAATATACAGTGTGATAATCTGCATATTGTTGTGCAGAATCTTTAATTTCAAAATTTCTGAGCAAGATTCAATTGTTATAGTAGAAATCGAAGAAATATACTCAGTGACCAAACATTGAAGTGTTTTTTCCATCATGGCAATGCTCAGTCCCACATTTTGAATGAATGCCAGACAAAAAACTTATTGAGTATGGCTGACATGTTTTGTCACCTGCTCTGTTCACTAGACCTTATTGTCTCAGATTTTCATCTCTTTATGTCACTTCAAAATCTCCTCAATGTTCTGGAGTTCACTTCTTTTGAAACTGTCCAATAGCCACTTGAGAACTTCTTTACAAATAAAACACTTTTTTTAAAAAGGAACTTTTGAGCTGCTGGAGAAATGGCAAAAAGTTATCGAATAAAATGGTTCTTATGTGCTTCAACGAATTTTTTTTTTGTACTACTTCATTTAATATAAAATAATATTATATATATATTTTATTTATATTTGTTATTTAATATAAAAAATGATGACCCAATACTAATGATCCTGCATATGATAATATGAGAAATGAAAAAAACAACCAATGTTAATGGTGCCATTTAAAAAAATAAGTATCTAAAAGCAGTTAATCGCATAGCACATCATTACCAAACACATTAACCAATAAAGATAAAATTTTGAATTTGATGGAATCATTACTCTTATTATCTGACCACAGCAGTATCATACTAAATCCAAATTAAATTGAGGCATATAGTGTTT